TAAAAACAACAAGGTATGTACCAGGAGATAATGAAATCACAATTGAGCTTATGAAATCAGATGGAATGCTAGTACTAAAGTTCTCTTAAATACCACCATGTTTATTGGTCGATAAACCAAAAAATAAGACATTGTGGTGGTGCTAGAGACTGGAATGGAATGGACGTTGGCGATGGTCCAGAGTCAGGTGAGGCAGCTTTTTCCTGAAACATGACACTCTCGCTATCCAACATCCAGTCTCCCAGACAACCTCATTTTCGAAAAGACGTTCGTAATACTACGTATACATATTTAATGCTGCGTCAAATTATGCAGAAGACTGAGGACTAAAATCAGTCATTATTATTGGCCTTTTTGTACCTTCTTCGATTCGGTCAAGACCTGGGCTGTGCTACAGTCTCTTTAATGGCGTCAAATTGACTGTCGATACATGCAACTTCTGTAGTATTTGTATGAAAACTTCATCATATCAGCCCTCCCCCAAGATCAGAACTCGAAACTTATCTGATTGCTGCGAGGGTTCAGAGTTAGACACANTTGCTCGCGAGTGTAGTTGTGTGGATTGGTTTTGATGATTGATTTGGAACATTGGTTTGAACATGTATTACGTATCCTTTCGGGAACCGTGAGACAAGTGTTCAAAGATATTTATAACTAGCTTTCCGTCCGTGTCTTCGCCCGCGTGGACTACATTTTTTTTTTCAAAATAAAATGTAGCCTATGTTACTCGTGGATAATGTAGCTTTCGAATGGTGAAAGAATTTTTAAAAACGGTCCAGTAGTTTTTGAGCCTATTCATTACAACCAAACAAACAAACAAAGTTTTCCTCTTTATAATATTAGTGTAGATTAGGTATTTAGGAAATAATCTACTAGTGCAAGATAGATTGCAATTCAATTTTACAAATAAAACTTATCATAGGAGCAATGAAACCTTTGCTTAAATACGAGAAAAAAGTTGCTAATAAAGAAGAACGGTCACGCCCCATACAAAAAAAACCCAGACCCGACAGAAACGAGACATATCTCAATTTTTTTGTCATGTCTTAATTAGTTAAATTATATATTTTTTATATTCGAAATCTATGTATAACACCAAAACCCTACCCTTTGTTTTTGTTCAGGCGCTATACAAAGACTAATACAAAATGCCTATTTATCACCAAAATTGGTAAATGTATGTACCTAAATGTCTATTACAGCTGCTATGTAATGTATCTAGGTGACCTGGAGATACAGCCGGATTATACAGGGTGGTTATACATTATGGAACGATAAGTGATCTCACTCGATTATTTCTAAACTATGCAAGATATCGAAAAACTAGTTACTGATTCTGAAAGTGCTTCACGAGCTCTTTCAAATGGTACCAATAATAGGTTACAGATTATGGAAGCTGGTAACATTGAATTTTTGGATTTTGTAACTTCTCGTTTCCGCCCTGTATAATCCGGCTGTATCTCCAGGTCACCTAGATACATTCCATAGCAGCTGTAATAGACATTTAGGTACATACATTTACCAATTTTGGTGATAAACAGGCATTTTGTATTAGTTTTTGTATAACGCCTGAACAAAAACAAAGGGTAATATTTTGGTGTTATACATAGATTTCGAATGTAAAAACTATATAATTTAACTAATTAAGACATGACAAAAAAACTGAGGTATGTCTCGTTTCTGTCGGGCCTGGGTCACAGATGACCGTTCTTCTTTATGTTATTTTTCTTATCTGTTCAAGGTAACTTGCATGTATAAATCACGTGGATAACAGCACAAAGTTCAACTTTAACCTTATCGCAGAGGTTCCGTCAATTATTCAGATAAAATTTTGATAAAAACCTTATTTCTTTTTCCATAACCGCCTCTGTGCTTTAGTGGTTAGACCACCTGGTTCAGACGCAGAGGTCCCGGGTTCGATTCCCAGTGGGGGCAGAATTTTCTGTTCGGTTTGGTTGGTTTCTGTAGGGTTTGTTTTAAGCCCGCCTGGCTAGCTACCACCATCTTACCTAAGTCTGTCGCCATAACAACATGTTGTGTTCCGGCAGTTAGAGGTAAGATAGCCAGTTCCTCTGTGGTTGACGATTCCGGGTGAAGCTCGCTTCCACCTTCGGCCTGATCATCACTTACCATCAGGTGAGATACAGGCCAAGAGCTTTCTCGTTGTGGATAAAAAAAAAGTTAACCCCTTATTTTTTCCAATTCCAGAACGAGATTTTCCAGAAGATGACGACGACCCAGACCAGCTCATCCCCGCCCTTCCAGAAAACACTCCTCACGTCCCCTACAAGCCGGCGAGGAGGTCCGACGAGGAGGTCCTCAAGAGGTCCAGGGAGTACTACGAGCTGATGGCGGAAAGGAGAACCGTAAGGGCATTCAGCCCTGAACCTATACCAGATGGGGTGTTGGAGAATATTATTAAGACTGCAGGTGAGTTAATTTGTATACAGAGCCCAACAGGGTCCTTAATGATCTCTATTGTAACACACTGTAACATCTACGTAATATGTACTATTATGGAAGAAATGAAGATATTTAGTATTGAGTTTGCTGTCAAAGCAGAAAGCAGAATTTTGGCAGAAAAGATGGAAAGTTCTAAGACTGGTTGTCAATATTTACAGCTGAAATAATGGGCAAATCAAATAATATTTTTTTGGATTAGTGCCCATTTTGTATGACTGTTCAGAGTAGTTTCTGGTTATAGAGTGAATGAACTAACAATAAGTTTCTTCCGTTACTCCTTTTCACCATCAGATTAAGGCTGTCCCAAAGTGGTGGTAGGGCAAACTATATTTATATAATTACAGCTCGTAAAATGTACGTCTAAAATAATTGTTTGACCTGTAATAGCCGTATACCCATGTCTTGAGGAATTTGTGACCATTAAATTTTTTCGCAGCCTCATTGGCCTTCATCTATAAGATAGACCGACGACCTCATAAAGGTAGCAGGAAGGCACTGGATGTAGGCCGATACCAACCGGGCCATGTGGAAATCGTTGGGGGAGGCCTATGTTCAGCAGTGGTCGTCCTGTGGCTAAAATGATGATGATGAACTTTTTTCATTTAAACCGCTTTATAATGTAAATGTTTTAAGCAATGATAAAACAGATGATAGCTTCCGTACACTGGCATTATAATAATTGGTCCATCCGTGATACGATATCACTAATTGCCCTGGATGACCGACCTCAGTCGTTAGTGCCAGTTTATTGCTCCAGCAGATGGGGCAATTATAATTATTCATATCAAACAAGTAATTGAGAATGTTACTAGGTATGCAAAATCACTTGAAACCTATGTTACAGTTAAGCTTTTACATTTACAAATACATTACTTTTTATTTCATTCAAAAATACCCAGTAGTTATGATTTTATAGGCATTCAAAGTTCGCTTAAATATTGAGTCCCGCCGACGGTCACGTGACCCCGTGTGTAGGGGTGTCCACTTTGAAAAAACATCGATGTTTTTTTCGATTCGATATATTAAAACTGTACATCGATTTCTTTCGATGTATTGGAAGAAAACATCGATGTTTTGTATAAATCGAGTACTTTTTTAAAAAATTTTATAATCTACTAATTTAAGCATTGTATTATTAAAAAACAGTAAAAGCCATACATGAGAAAAATCTTCATTATACAGTGTGAGTCACATTAAAGTGTACATATGAAAATAGAAGAAACTAGACCTATTTTTATCGACAAAAAAGAGGTCAAAAATTTTTTGTTTTTTTTTTTATTTATTTTATAAAAAATTGTTTCTTCCAATTACTTATTGTAAAGAAAACGTAATAACTTTTAAATTAAGCGGTATATCCTGATAAAATAAAAACAGTAATAATGCTAAATAACAGGCGATACTAAAAAAATATATAAAATACACAAAAAATGCCAACAAATAATAAAAAATGACAGTTTTTGAAAAAAATCTGCTTTTTAATTCGTGTTTTTTTGGTTATTTGATAAATTTCTCCAAAAAATGTCCCTATAACAGGTGGTTTTTATTACTTTGTATTATTCTCTATCGTATTATCTTTGTAAAACCTAAAATCGCATGTCTCTATCCCAATCATATCAGGATATACCGCTTAGTTTAAAAGTTATTACGTTTTCTTTACAATAAGTAATTGGAAGAAAAAAAATTCTATAAAAAATAAAAAAAATCTCAAAAATTTTTTGACCTCTTTTTTGTCGATAAAAATAGGTCTAGTTTCATCTATTTTCATATGTACACTTTAACGTGACTCACACTGTATATTAAAGTAAGAATAAAAAAAAAACATCCGCATTTATTTTTATAAGTTTGTTATATCCTAAGTATTTCCAGTGTTCTTTTGGAAGACTTTGCAAAAACAACAGTTTATTTAAACGTTTGCCTTTCAGCCTATTTCTTTGTTGATTGACACAAACAAACTCGCCAACCGACATTGACCGACATCACGCGTGACGCGACATTGACATAACAGTTTTTTTTTATTGTCACTAGAGACACTACACTCACTGCACTCGTACGCAGTGTTGCCAACATTTTTAAAATACAAGTTGGGTTGTCCGTATAAGTAAAATTTTAGTGGTCAGACTTGAGTTTTATGAAATTTTAATTGGTTATCATCGATTCGATGTTTTAACACTGATAACTTAAAAACATCGATACATCGAGTATTTCAATAGCTTTTCAAAACATCGGATCCATTCGATGTATCGCATTGTAAACATCGATGTTTTCAATACATCGATGTATATCGAATATCCCTACCATTGTGACGTACATTCACAGCGTCCGCTCACTAGAAAACGGATATAAACATACTTAAATATTTTTTTTTTGTAAATACAAACTTATTATACATATTAACACCCAGACCCATCACAGAAATTAAAATTGAACCAAACCCAAACTTGATGCGATTGTGTCGTTTTATTGCGAATTACCTTCCAGCTCCATCATTAGACCCCGATTACTATAAGAATTAAAATACTCATCAATACAAAACGAACGAGCCCAAACTCGATGCATTTAAGTCGTTTTATTATAGAGTTCCTATGGCCACCTTCCAGCTCCATCATCAGATCAGCTCCATGTCATCACAATATTGCATGGTCATCCAAATCACATGTGTTTGCGAAATTTCAGCTTAATCGGTTGCCTGGAAGTGGGTCTTAATTCAATTTGCAAGATTCCACCCATACAAATATGAGCCAGTCGTTGTAATATGACGTCACGCGCAAAAAATGGCGGGCCGGCCGCCGCCCGCACTTTTAAAATTCAATATCTTGGAAACTAATTGACGTATCGAAATAATTCTTTCACGTGTATTTTTTATTTTTAACAGAGAATACAGAAAGCTAAAAAACAAAATTAGTGAACATTCTTCATTGCGCAAATCTATTTTTCTTCTTTTTTACTGATATAATAATAATTATATCATTAAGTACAAATATTAAATGATCTAATGATGATGCAGTAAGACAAAATATGTATAAAAAACAATGTACTAAAATTCAAAAACTTACTGTCTGGTTAATATTGTATAATGTAAAAAATAAAAACATTTGTTTATCCAAAGATATTTTTGGATAATTTGCTAAAAATAAAAACGTTAATAAAAAAATTCTCAGACCAAGTTACACCCATGTTGTATGTTGACTACTATTCCAGGCAACAAAATGGACCATCTTTTTAAACCTCTAAGTCCTCTACGACATCAGCTTATCAGGGACTTAGGTCTGTTCTTCTTCAATGAAACATTCACTGTTCCCGCCTTAGGCAGTTCGATATTTTCAAGTTGATTATTTAAAACATTCACTGACTCCCAGGTTGATAGTCCGCGAAATCTACTTGGTTATGTATTTTTTTTAAAGATTATTAGCAGTTTGTATTGCACAAATTACTAATAGTCCCGTCAGTCCCTCGTGTTAAGCTAAATAAGCTTGTGTTACGAGTGGGCTCACCACAATAGTCAAGCGGCGGTGGGATTCGAACCCGCGTTCCTCGGATCTCGAGTCGGCAACTCCGACCCCTTCACCGTTCGGCTATCGTGGCTCGTAATTACATAACTTTAGTCAGAATCACGCCTAATTAATGAACGGTTGTAAGCCGCCCAGTCGTAATCATCTTGGATATACTTCCGCCACTCTTCCTTGCGCCGAGACATCTCGCTGTACAAGTATGATGACGTCACCAATATGCAGACGAAAACTGCGATTATTGTTATTTTGTACACCCTTTTAATTTTAATTAACATTTTGTTTACTTCTATTTAAATAATAATTCACAAAATTGGAGTTTTGATGGCATTATTTGAAATATTATGACAGCAGACTTCATGAGTTAGAAGGGATGACATTAGAGTTTTTAAAAGTCACACTAAATTAGGGCAAAGGAAAATAAAATATTATCAATATAGTATATCAACTATAGAAGATAAAGTGATGATTAAGGATAAACCGATAAACCAAACTTCCAATTTGCTCCTAAAACATAGATCGCCGATCTGATCCCTAAAAAGCATCATTCAAATCTTGGTAGTTGAGACTCTTGGGCTATCTGGTGCAATCGAAGTCTCATGAAGTTATTTCTAATTCCAGGCACATCCCCATCGGGAGCCCACACAGAGCCGTGGACCTTCGTCGTGGTCCAAGACCCTGACATGAAAGAAGCCATCAGAACCATAGTGGAAGAGGAAGAGGACCTGAACTACTCCAAGAGGATGTCCAGGCAGTGGGTGACGGACTTAAAGCCCTTCGCTACGAAGCCAATAAAGCCGTATCTATCTGATGCTCCAGCGCTGGTCTTGGTCTTCAGACAGACGAACAGTTGGAGACCAGATGGGAAGAAGAAGATGCATTACTACAGTGAGATCAGCGTGGCTATCGCAGCTGGGATATTGCTAGCTGCTATACAGGTGAGAAGAGGGGTTGGTGACAAATGTATTCTACTCTGCCGTCACCACACGGCTCACTTAGGCGTAAGAGGTGACTTAGGGACTACACATCAAACAGAGAATGGGCAGCAGGGCTCTCTGAAAAATATCATTCTTTTAAACTGCGATCTCAGAAAACCCTCCACTATAGTGGAGGAGGCTCATAGTCCAGCAGTGGACTGTAAACGGCTGTTGATGATGATACAGGTGAGATGAGGCACGAGAATTCTCTCAAAATTCAGTTAGATCTACTATATAAAAATAAGTCGGGTTTTCCTCCCTGACGCTATAATTCTAGAACGCACGAACCGATTTCCACGGTTTTGCATTCGTTGGAAACGTCTCGGGCTCCGTGGGGTCTATAGCAAAGAAAATTCAGGAAAAATTTAAAGGGGATAAAACGGGATCCACGCGTACGAAGTCGCGAGCGGCCGCTAGTTTATTCATAAAACATTTTTTGTAGTCTCATAAAGGTAACAAGAAGGGGATGGTTGTAGGCCGCTACCGACTAGCTAAACTAAGCTTATGTTCAGCAGTGGCCGTCCTGTGGCTGAAATGATGATTATGATGATGATGTTTAGTCTTATGTTTAGTAGTCTAATGGGATTTTTGTCAAGTGCGTGCCTTTTATGAACTTCTGAAAGTGTCCATCATCATAAACACACTGAAGAACTAAATGGAAAAGAAAAGATTAACACCATTTAATTGACGACGAAATTTTGTAAAATAATTTGAATTTTCCAGCAATAAAGTGGTTATCATCAGCTCTGTAATCTACTGCTTATTACATCCATATTTATTAGAAAGGCTATAAAATTTTTATTTATCAACGTCGCGTTGTAGGCATAATTTCAAAAATGTTATAAAGATACGTTTTTTGTTTGATGATAGGTGTTTAATGCCTAGCAAGCTTAGCTTTTATCTAAACTCTGAATTCTGTGACTTGACGAAAAATTAATTTTGTTTCATTTTTGCAAAAAAATCAAATTAATTAACTTTCTACAGTAAAAGTAATTTCTGATTTTATCACAGACATAAAAAATGCAATGAATGGTCTATGGCTTACAAAATGCATACGTATAAATACCAATGAAGTAAAAAAATAAAGGTTCTTCCTTACGATATTGGTTTTGATGGTGCGTGATAGTCACGACTACAACTCACGACTCTGCCTAGCAACAACGCTATGCTATTTTTATCTTCTCCGCAATCTATAGTATCTTATCTTCAAGGGCTTCAGTTTTTATATTATCATTCATATCTTCAATTAAATCGTAGGTAGTTATCATTTAAACCTACAAATGCAATAGCGCTAAATATTTATTTTGCCACACTTTGGAACAGGTATTTTGAATTTGGACCAATGTCGTATTTTTTCACCAGTAAGCGTCACTGGTGATATAATAATGGTATTCGCCAGTTTGCAACTAGTAAACGTATCACGAGATATTTTTATAAATATAAATGAATCATCATCATCATCATCATCTCAGCCATAGGACGTCCACTGTTGTACTAGGTTCTTAGTAAACTATCACTTCTAAAGCGCATTTGTTAGCGTCTGCGCTTTTTAATTATTATAAGCTTCGACGTGGCTCTAGAGATGGGTAAGTGCTAATAATCCGATTAATAGCAATTGGCTAATAACGGATTAAAAGCAGTTATTAGCCATTAATAGCCAATAATAGCCGATTTCAGATGGTAACCCTGCTATTAATGTTATACTAATGATTAAACATATCCTTTCATAGTTTACAAATTTAACACTTGAAATTTGGAAGGGACGTAGCTTAGGTACCGTAGAGGTGCATTAAGAAAGGAATACCCGAAATTCCCACGGGCACGGGAATTAGCCGGAAAATCCTTTTGTATGAAAAATCTAAACCATGTAAGATAGACGCTTGAAATTTGGCATGCAGGTACCTTAGTAAACTCAAAGCTTAGTTACAAGAGAATATTGCAAACTTCCCACGGGAACGGGAGTTAGCGGGAAAAAACATTTGTATGAAAAAATCTAAACCACGTAAGATAGACGCTTGGAATTTGGCATGCAGGTACCTTAGTAAACTCAAAGCTTAGTTACAAGAGGATATTGCAAAATTCCCACGAGAACGGGAGTTAGCGGGAAAAAACATTTGTATGAAAAAATCTAAAACACGTTAAAAGGAGAAACTGACTGACTTAGTGACATATCAACGCACAGCCTAAACGGCTAAACGTATGCACTTGAAATTTGGAAGGGACGTAGCTTAGGTACCGTAAAGGTGCACTAAGAAAGGAATTCCCGAAATTCCCACGGGAACGGGAATTAGCGGGAAATCCTTTGGTATGAAAAATCTAAACCGCTTAAGTTAGACGCCTGAAATTTGGCATGTAGGTATCTTAGTAAACTGAAAGCTTAGGCACAACAAGGAATTCCCGAAATTCCCACGGCAACGGGAATTATCGGGAAAATCCTTTTGTATGAAAAATCTAAACCGCTTAAGTTAGACGCTTGAAATTTGGCATGCAGGTACCTTAGTAAACTTAAAGCTTAGTTACAACAGGATATCGTAAAATTCCCACGGGAACGGGAGTTAGCGGTAAAAAACATTTGTATGAAAAAATCTAAACTGCGTAAGATAGATGAAGGGGGTAAAACGGGATCCTCGCGTACGAAGTCGCGGGCGGCCGCTAGTACATTGTGAGTCTTAAGAAAGTGCACATATGAAAATAGGCGGAACTACTAAACCTATTTTTATCGACAAAAAAAGTCAAAAAATATGTGAGTTTTTACTATTTATGGACATTTTCTGGGTATTTTATGTACCTATTTTTTTAGTATCGCCTGTTATTAAGCACTAACGGCCGCCCGCGACTTCGTACGCGTGGATCCCGTTTTACCCCTTCATCTATCTTACGCGGTTTAGATTTTTTCATACAAATGGTTTTTCCCGCTAACTCCCGTTCCCGTGGGAATTTTGGAAAATCCTGTTGTAACTAAGCTTTAAGTTTACTAAGGTACCTCCATGCCAAATTTCAAGCGTCTAACTTAAGCGGTTTAGATTTTTCATACAAAAAGAGTTTCCCGCTAATTCCCGTTCCCGTGGGAATTTCGGGAATTCCTTGTTGTAACTAAGCTTTAAGTTTACAAATGTACCTACATGCCAAATTTCAAGCGTCTGACTTAAGCGGTTTAGATTTTTCATACAAAAGGATTTTCCGGCTAATTCCCGTTCCCTTGGGAATTTCGGTAATTCCTTTCTTAGTGCACCTCTACGGTATTTAAGCTACGTCCCTTCCTTTCGAGTGCCTACGTTTAGCCGTTTAGGCTGTGCGTTGATCTGTCACTAAGCCAGTCAGTTTCTCCTTTTAGGTATATATTTAGATTCTTTTTTAACTACAATGTCGTTTATATAAATTACATTGATGTTTTTTTAGTTCTTTTTGTTTCTTTGAGTAATGTTTGATTTTAATATTGATTTGATTTTAAAGGTGGAAGAAAAAACGTAAGAAACTATTAATAGCAGGGTTACTAGCCAATGGATGGCTATTAATGGCTATTAATAGATAATAATCAGTTATTATCAAAACTAGCTGGCTACAAACCCATCTCTACGTGGCTCCGATCTAGTACCTACATAAAATGTGATAGATGGCGCTGTATGCATAACAATTAAAAAAGATTCACCAACAAAAGTGACCACCATCAAAATAATGTTATTTACCTTCTATTTCCAGTACTGCGGTCTAGTGGCCCTCACTTCCACTCCTCTGAACTGCAGCCCTCGCCTTCGAGACCTCCTCTCCAGGCCACACAACGAGCGGCTGGAACTCCTGCTGCCTGTGGGGCGCCCGCAAGATGGCGCCACGGTGCCCGACTTGAGCAGAAAGCCGCTGGATGAGATCCTGGTCAAGATATGACAGTTAGAAGAAATAGGAGAATTTGCATACAATGTTTTGTGAAGGTTTATGAGAAAATACAGTCCAAAACTGAAGCGGGTTTTCCACCGTGAGTGGAAAGAGCAGTTAATGACTCCGTTTATCTCGCAATACAAAAGCATACATCTGTTTCCACCAGCAAAGTGTCGAGGGCAAAAAGAGTAAAAATGAGCTCGCTCATAAAATTAATACTCCTGTAGGCCTAGGATGCGCGCACCGATAAGTGGTTATCACGCCATTTTATCGATTTTCCCCATACATTTTGACGTCGATAAAAGTTATCACGGTGCGCATCTTAGGCCTACAGAACTCTTTCTCGGTGCAAAAACAATTTTATTTTATGTACTAGCTAGAAGACCGCTCCGCTAGACGTCCCTAGTTCATTCCTCTTTGGCGGTGGAAAATGGGCCTGAATATCAGCGAATCCAAACATATTATTATCTCTCTCTCATAGCAAAATGCTGAGTAATCATCGACAGATATTTGAAATTATAGGCCTACGATGAATCATCAAGCATCATAAAGGTAGCAGGAAGGCGCCGGATGCAGGCCACCACCAACCGGCCATTGTTGAAATCATTGGGGGAGGCCTATGTTCAGCAGTAGACGTCCTATGGCTGAAATGATGATGATGGGGCTTAGGATGCGTGGCAGTTCAACTTTTATCGAGGCATTTTATCGATTTTGCACGATGAGACCATACATTTTGTCGTATAAAATCGTCGATAAGATTTTATCATGGCGCGCATCCTCATCCTCATCATGATAATTTAAGTAATTTTACTGCTTAAAAAATGAATGATTTTCTAACAATTTAATAGAAATCATACGAAATCATACCACCCACTGAACTATGTTTATCTTTTATCAAAAGAGAAAACAGTTGTACTAACTAGAATAATTAGAAAATATTGGGATTGGATTTTTAGGGTTCTTTGTCATTACATTTAGGGAATGATTCCTTAATAATGTGGTGTTTATGGGTGAATATCCCAAAGACGTTTTTTACGCGGCGGAGCTGAGAATCGATGGGAGAAATGTAACTAGAGCGATGATTTTTTTTCTGTATATAGTTTATACAGCGTTTTACACGATAGCAAAGTCTTCAGGACAATAGGTAGTTATTTTATGTACTAAAAAAATTTTTAAAGACCCAAAATCTAATAGCGGTGGCGCGTCCTAACTCTATTTCTACTCATAAATTGTGTTATTCCTTCTTTCTCGGGGATTCTAGTAATTTAAAAATAGTATAGCCATAAAATACATTATATAAGACTTCCAAATGATATGAAAGAAATGTGATATTTCATATTTTAAGTGTTTTAAATAGCCTTTCAAAACTGTCCCACGAAAAAAAGCAATTACAGTGGCTCAATTTCGACACTCTCTTACTTCTCCAAAGAAGCTTTGAGAGACGTAGAGTTCTTCTTNTCACCCTTATAAGTGAATTTGATAACTTAGGAAACTGACCTAAAGTCATACTTATTATAAGCTATATTTTTTATATATTTTTATATGCTGTTTACTATGATACTTAGTCACTACTATTGTCCTAGCCTTAAAGACTTAAAAGCTCAACTATTTTTAAGGTATTTGCTTTAATATAGAACTTCTAATTTTCGTTTCAATAAGCTGAATTTGTGATACTCATTGAATTGTGCAATTAGTAAATACCTAATTATTTTGTAAGTATTTTTAAATAGTAAATAAAATATCTGAAATAAATGTGTGTATTTATTTGTTGTTATGTACTTTAATCTCTCCGGTTGGCGTCACTGGCGTGTAAGACCCAGTTTACTCGTTAGGAGTTAAGCCAGTGGCGCTATCTACGGGACTATTCCCACCGCTGCAACTCGTGTGTAGCCATGATCTTCAGCTTGACCGCCAATAAAAACCCAACCAGTGAAGGTCAAGTTTGTCCCGGGGGAAAGTTAAACTGTCATTGGACCCGCAACGAAATTAATCAGAAGAACATTGGAGGAGTTCAAAGTTAAGGTTCGACTTCCCTCCGTTGCAAAGCATATAACAGGTGACAAACAAGGTTTAGTAACTTTTATGAAAAGATATGCACTACGGACAATAAACATTAATTAAGGGGGCCTATATTATGAGCTATTAGCTACCTGCCAATAATATTTTTCACAAAATCGTCTGAAAGCACGGAAATTTAACCTTTTCGCGACAAGATCGGTGTAATAAATTGCAGAAACAGATGTATGTTTTGTGTGGCGCTATCTAGTGAGCGTAAATACGGTTAAGTAATAAAATTAAATATTCAGACCACGAGCCACGAAATGCAACGAAATTTCACACCCTAGTACAGTCCCTAGATACCTACTTAGGAAAAATGATTAAATTCACTCGATAAAAATGACAATTGCAGTTACCTTAGAGGTCACTTAAAAATGAGGGATTGATGGTCAAAACTGGCATTGGAGTAATATGCCAGTCGTAGGAGTATTTAGCCTTTAGGTAAAAGTAGCAGGATGGCGCGCTGAATGCAGGCCATATTGGAAATCATTGTTTCAGTGAAATTATGATGATGAGCCTTCTATTATTTTTAAAATAAAAAATACCTACATCTAAGGATCGGTTACTGGCTAAGCAGAAATAAAGTGCCAGCGATAAAATAATAGCAAGATTTCCGCGCAGTGTGACTATTTGCAGAGATAGGTACGAGTAAATGAAACTGTTGACAAGATACATGTCTGTCTAAATCATCCAAGGAGTGCATAAAGTTTTATATTAAGTTTTCATTTCTTCAACTTTCTGGATGTCCAGTGCTGGACAAGGGTTTTGCCGAGGTGCTTCTAGCGATCCTCAACAGATTGTCGGTCATCCGAATGGGAGGAGACAATATTAAAAAAACTTAAAATGGGATGTCGTATATTACAAAACAACGTTCAAAACACGATTCAATCGTCATTTTATAAAACGGGCCTTAGTTTTATATTGTTCCATATCTGACGCATTTAATTTTACCTATAAAATGATTACAATAGATCTACTACACTGTGTGGTAGCTAAAATAGTGTAATCATGACGAATCTAAATGCATCACGTTTTGAACTAATAACTTACTCATGTCTAGCTTAGGTACACTAGAACAATGTAATTATTAATTATGTGACACCTTTAGCCTTTTATATTGGTCTCTGCGCTTACGTCAACTAAATGCTTGGGTAAAATCGACGTAATGACAATAAAGTTTACGGCACACCTTGTGTATTATTTACCCATCGAAGGAAGAGTTATTACCAATTATAACTCTTCCTAACCTATTATCATCATCATCATCATCATTTCAGCCATAGGACGTCCACTGCTGAACATAGGCCTCCCACAATGCTTTCCATGTTGATCGATTGGTAGCGGTTGGTCCACCTACAAGGTGGACCGACGACATCGTAAAGGTAGCGGGGTAGCGCTGGACGCAGGCCGCTAACCTATTATACCCATCTATAAATAGATAATAATAAAATTACTTATTAATAAGAGTCGAAAATCCTGAAACACATTGTAAAAATGTCAAAACCATTGCACAAGGAAATTTAAAGTATGTGCATAAAAAACTACACAGTTTTAATTCACAGAATAGAATTATTACAAAATAGGTACCTACATACCAACTGGTTTTATCTATTGGGTCATTCCATGACAAATGTTACCGAGGGTGAAAAACTAAATATGTTCTTTTCGCATTAAATCTGATGAATTTTGAAAGTAAACATTCCAAATTATAATGTGCAACAAAAAAAAACTGAAAGAAACAAGTAATTTTTAAGTTATTAGTCTTCAAAGTCTATACTTAAGTCAACTGTCTGAATGATCATTTTCTCTCTAATTTATTGGTAATACGATTTAAAAAAAACTATCAATCTGTGAAACGTTTTGCCACTATATGATTCGAGGGTATTTATCATAGTATTGGTAGATAGCGTCATAGTCCCAAAAAAATTTATAATCATCAAGTTTTAAGTGTGTTTTCTTGTTACTTCGGCGATGTAACACCCGAAACAGAAAAACAGGTATTTGTTTTATTATTGTACCTTACACATGGATTAGAGTAACAATATTTGGTAAAAGTAAGGTCATGGTAGTAATGATTTCAAATACTAACTAATATCTGAGTATGATACTAATTTAGTATGTTTCTTTCTTGATTAAAAACTGTAACACCCGAAACGTTTCGGGTATTACATTTTTATTTCTATGTCGATAATGTGTGTATATTGCTTGGAGAAGTGAAAAAGTATTACTGTGAGGCTCCTTTGACCTCCCACTAGCGCTGGCATTGGAAAAGGAGTCATATTTCTCAATTTAAGACTTTTTTGAAATGTCGACTTAACACTAAAATTAAGGTACTGCTAAAAAGTGTCGATGTTTGACATTTCCAATAAATATCGTAATTATAAATTAAAGTAATGCTATTTCAAGCCAAAAACAATAGAAAAAGCTATATTCTGAGGAAAAAATAAATTTGAACTTTGTATATTTAAAAAAAAAAGCTGCTTCGTAATTTCAAACCAGAATTCGCTCTATTTGTGTTTATTTGTTGTACTCCTTATTTTCAAGTACCTAGAAACTAATAAAACACCGATTTTATCGATAAAACGAGTTGCATTTTCGTACTCGTAACACCCGAAACAGAACCATTGTAACACCCGAAACAAAGAAAAAAATTATAAAAAAATAGTAAAACGTTTTATTTAACAGTGATTGTATGTTACATGGTTTGTAAATGTCATACTTTAGAAGTCCTGTAAGTTTTAGGTATGATTTCTTAAGAAAATTCGCTAAATTTCGAGTAAATGCAACAACAGTCAGAACATAGAGGCAAAATTTCGTAACGCCCGAAACGCACACTTTTCGACTCATATTTTCGTTATCCTACATTCTAAGCTGTACAAACTTTATTATTTAGATAAAACAACTAAAAACGGACAGATTAAGGCACTAATATTATTAAAATACTATTTCAAAATACATGAAATTGTTGAATATGTGTGTACGAACGTAACACCCGAAACGATGGAATGACCCTATTAGACAAATGTTTTTATTGCAAATAGTAATAGTTAATTAAAGTAAATCCAATTAATATTATAATTTATTACACACTTAAAGCTAGAAGACGTAGCGTGGGCAGGCCTCCTACTAGATGGACCGACGATCTGGTAAAGGTCGCGAGAAGAGCCTGGATGCGGGCAGCACAGTACCGCTCATTATGGAAAACCTTGGAGGAGGCCTTTGTCCAGCAGTGGACGTCATTTGGCTGAAACGAACGAACGAACGAACACACTTAAAATTGTACTTGCCTTGAAGTTATCAAAAAACACGTGGTAGGTAAGTAGGTACCTACTCGAATCTTGGACAGGACAGGACAGGACAAACCTATGTATGTAGGTAGTCCCTGTTTATTTAATAAGCTATGAAGTACAGCTTATCAATTTTATTTATGTAAGTATTTATTATTCTAAACTTAAGTTGCAATTCCTATTTCCCATTAGGCGCAGTGTAAAATGTCCTAGGATAATTATTTATTATTATTATTTATTACAAACGGGCAATTAAGTTTCATCATCAATTAATATTAGAATAAGACCCAAATAAGGAACGCTAGTGTTAAAACGGTCACTTAGTGGAAAAACAGCTCAAAAAAGTTGTAGTCATGTTTCCCAAGAATATCTGCTAAAAAGTTTGAAGAATAGGAAGACCGCAAAGCCAACTTTTTATGTATTTATCTCTATTGTATAAATTGTTGGCGCTTAGGAGTTTTTGTGAGCCGTCAAGCAGTTTATTATAAATAATCTAATATCGTTCAATATTAATATTAATTTTTAAATTATGCCGTTTCATCGAATAGACGAAATATCGAATGCCGTATCATCG